TTTTTGTGCTTCAAAGTTTATTCCTTCTGCATGGTCACAGCTTTCTTTAACCTCTTCTTGGTGTCAGCCATACCTTCATTTCTCTTTCCTCTCTTCAAAGCAAGCTTGTTTACCCTTTTTGCTTATTGTAGTGCAATTTTCTGAATTTCAAACTTTTTCTTCTGTTGTATAGGATGTATCCTTGTATCTTTCTATACATCTATCTCATGTTTTTTACAATTTTGCATCTTGTTCTTCAATAGCTTTTCATTACAGTATTTTCTGCCTTGTAGAAGGTTGATTTTATTTTTACTATTGATTTGGACCATGTTAACTGTCTTCTTTCTTCCCAAAGCTTATGTCACTCCATTTGGGAATCTTGACTGTAGTCAGAGAGAGGAAATGAATCTTAAGTACCAGAGCCATTGTGATTTAACTATTCATGAGGTTTTCTTCTTTATTCATTTATTAAATGTGTTTGCCACCCATCTTGCCTCGCGGCAACTCTGGGCAGCTTATAAAATTGAAAAAGATAAAACCATATTTTTTTTTTCTAAAAACAATAAAAATAGAATTACACTCAAAGTAACACTGCAATTAAAAGAGGTCCGTTTAACAATTCTGTGAGATTAATTAGCCTGAGAGAGGTTGACTGGTCCCAGGTCACTCAGCGATCCTTACAACAAGTAGAATTTAACCTGGGCTGCTCTATATGATCTTTGTTACCATTACACCATTTTGGCTGCAAAGAATCCATTTAACCTATTGCTCTTCTGCAACAACAGCTAATTGTCTGCTTCATGGAAGTTTACCAACAAGGCTAAAAAGTTCCCAGGATCCAGTTTTTGCACTTGAAAACTATTGTGGCGGGTTACTTAGAGTGTTTATGTCCTATAAATTAAGCTAACCCAAGCTTGCTTTTCTGTGGGCAAGAGAACCTCATTGTTCTTCCAGTTTTAAACTTGCCTTAAATCAAGAATTAGCTCCTCAGCTCTTCCAACTATATACCATTAGAACTGCTCATTTCAGAATTCAGTTCCATATCTTTGTTCACACAGTGTTGGTAATAGTCATCACAATGATATTTTATATAGACATTTTTTTCTGTTTAGTGAAAAAATCCTTGTTTTTCTCTTCTCTTCTCTTCTTTTCTCTTCTCTACTTTTCCCTTCCCTTCCCTTCCCTTCCCTTCCCTTCCCCTTCCCTTCCCTTCCCTTCCCTTCCCTTCCCTTCTCTTCTCTTCTCTTCTCTTCTCTTCTCTTCTCTTCTCACAGCCTGTCATAATAGCACAGCTAAAATTCATCTGAAAATAAAACTGGCTAACTAGAGGGTGGGTTATGATAACAGGTGACATGAGCATGTCTTTCTGTTGTAATTGTTTGAACAAGTGACCTTTCTGATAATGTAGCTGAAATAATACATTGGGGCAGACTTAAATATTTTATGGGGCCCACCTTAGCTACGCCAGAATGAACAAAACGTAAGAAATAGATAAATTAGTTTTAAAAAAATAAATTGCACTATAGGCTACTCTCAGAATGGCAAACTAAAAGGAGAGGGAGAACACGTTTTTGATAATTACATTCAAACATCCTATCTGTATGACAAAAGCACCCCCATGTACTTTCTTTGTACTGATCTTCACTTTGCATTCAATCTCAAATACTTCACTGTTGATCCTATGTCTTACTAGTCCTTCCCCCCCCCCCCCCGTACTTCTAGAATTTCTTATCACTTTAAAAGCATTACAGCTGGCATGCAAAATTTGTTCAATCAATTCAGTATTNCCCTCCCCCCCCCCCCCCGTACTTCTAGAATTTCTTATCACTTTAAAAGCATTACAGCTGGCATGCAAAATTTGTTCAATCAATTCAGTATTTTTTTTGAGAACCCAATGTCTTAATATATACTATAGTTAACTTCTGGCAGTTGAATTTCTCTTCAATTTACCAGCATTCCAGCATGCAAAAAAACCCCTTGGATAATGAGTTTGTAAATATGATCAGTCTTGAGACATTGAATTTTAATGAGGCTTCTGCAATCTGGAGCTATTTATTTTGTGATTGCTATTGGACTAAACAAAGAGGGGTTCAGGGAACAGTTTTACCTATAAAAATAAATAAACCTGAACTTCCTTTGAGATTTATTCCAACTTTCCATTTTATGAATAGAAATTAATATGAAAGATTATCAATAATCTTTCCTTTTCTCTATACAGGGAAGTATGTGGTATTTGAAGGTGCGGGGAAATTACAGTCCTTCATAGGTTATGTTTTCTTTGTGATTAGAAGTATTTGATTGCTATATTTTATTAATCAGATGGATCCAGAATTGGAAAAAAGGCTCAAAAAGAGTAAGGTGACACTGGAACAGGAATATGAGGTATGATATTGGTATATTTACTTTACTATATGGCTACTTGGTTATAATATACATTCTACCCATGTCTAAAGTTAAATGAACTTTAACTTTGATTCACAGGGATCCGGCAAAAACAAATTGCTTTGAAAATTCAAAGCTTTGTTGGATGCAACCCCCATTTTTCATGTTCATACAGTGCTGCAAACACAGTTTTACAGTTAAGAAAAGCTGCAGATCTAATTAGGATGTGCAGGTATCTGTGTTGCTCTTTAAGATAGGATGGCTAATTGCAAATAGGTGTTATTGTTTAGTGATACAGACTATTAATCTATCAGCCCCTTAGACCAGCTGTACAATTCTAGCCTCATTTGGTGCCCACCATTAAAATGTATACCAGATTTTGGAACTCCCAAATCAAACGGATTCACATATTATTTAAATAGACAGAAATCCTATTCCAAATTAAATTTTATATATAGGTGTAATCCAATCTGTAGGAATAGCAAAATGCTCCAGTAAAAAGCTGTGGTGGCGCAGTGGTTAGAATGCAGTATTGCAGGCTAATTCTGCCAACTGTCAGTAGTTCAATTCTCACCGGCTCAAGGTTGACTCAGCCTTCCATCCTTCCGAGATCGATAAAATGAAGACCCGTATTGTTGGAGGCAATATGCTGACTCTGTAAACTGCTATGAGAGGGCTGTAAAGCACTGTGAAGCGGTATATAAGTCTGCTATTGCTAATTATAAAACTCAAACTCAAAAATGATACTTTTTTTTACATTCTTCAGGCGAATTAATTCAATACTGCTGATTACCCAGTCAGCAAAAGAATCCTGCTCCTTAATTCATTTTTAACAAAAATAATGTAAAACAAATATCCCCACTGGTAAGATGGGAAGCAAGGAAAACAATAGCAAAACTGGGTTACAGTGGATTAAGTGGTATATGCACTTTCATTTGCACTAATGAAGTATATCTCCTAGCTTTTAGACAGAAGATGGTGGTGACAGACAAAGATGGAATATTCACTATCATAAATTTTTAATCTGGTCCTCTGTAGAAGCTAAAAGAAAATCTCAGGCACCTCTTTCTACCCAATAAAATTTAATAGCTTTTCAGTATCTCTAGCCGATACACTTATTTCATTGTCTCTAGGCTGCTGGATGGAGGAGGGGCGATGGGAATTCAGGGTCACTCTCCTTAAAGATCATGAATTGGAATGGACAGAAATAAGCAATGGCTTTACATAAATTTATCAGTTTTACAGTATTTATCAGTCCAACTTGAAATTGTTGTACTGGGCAGAGTATCACATCAATAGAAAGAAAACCAAAATCTATTAGTGTCTAAACCCAAAAATAATCATAACATCAAAAATAAACCCAAGATAGGTACTCACAGTCAGTCAAATGACCAAAGAGGAAAGAACAGAATATCTGTTCCCATATGAACTCTCCTAATTTTAGATATGCTAATGTTTCTCTATTTTAAGACCTTAGACAATGGTGACTGGACAATTGGTGAATTGTTATGGCATTGAATTTTATTGACATACTTTATTTTAATGCTGTAATCCATTTTGTATCTTTGAAAAACATAATAAAATTATTATTTTTGATGTGTCTAACACTATGTGGGAAACTCATATAAATTAAACCTCTGCTTTTTCTGTCTCGCTCTTTGTGTATATGTATATCTAAATACACACACAAAAAAAAGTCTCTAATTTTTCCAATAGTTCTAGAGGTAGGAAAGCAGTATGGAAGTATTTTTTTTAATTGAAATACACAAGCTTAGCAAGGTGCCCTGTCTAAATCAGATTGCACTTCAGATGTTTGAAGGATAATAATGATGCAACAGTAACATAATGTTCTAATTTGGAACATAATGATATAATTTGAAAGCTGGGAGTGTTGTGTCTAATCTATTAATTTTGGGTATCCAGACGCAAGTGAATTTCTAGCTGATAATATACAATCAAACATTCCCATTTCACTCTCCCTGAGTTTTAAAAATATGTTTTATTGCCTATTTCAAAGCTCCACAAAATGTTTCAACCTTCTTTCACAATCCTGAATGAATCAGTTGCATTATTTTTGTTAGCTAAGATGTCCATACTGCCCACTCCTGACTCTAATAAAATGAGATGCTACTCTGAGTTGAGATGAATACATTATGTTGTCATTTGTATTTTAAAAAAATCTTGCATTTTTCAGTGGTGATGAATTCGGATAACGAACCACTTAGCAGTCTCTTATTTTTCATGTATTAGAGATTCCCTAGTATTACCTAGATTTGAGCTAGGAATTTCATTTTGTTGATCTGAGAGCTGAAGAAATAATTTGTTTTAGACTGGTGGATCATGTTCAGAAGAGAATGTTTTCACACATTTCCTTCCCTTCCTTTTCCACCCCACAAAACACACTATTTTAGATAAAAGGTGTTTAGAACTACTTTAGAATGGGAGATGCTTCTTAGAACAAGGGGAGGGGTACTGCTTTTTGCTTTCTATGCAGATTCTACCTTCTCTAGAAATTGTAATAAGATAATAACAGTTTTTGAGCACAAGGAGCCAGATGGAAATTAATGATTCCTACTATAACCGTCTAACCCAAGAATCCCAATTTTTTACCTTAGCTACAGAGAAAAAGTGTGATTGTGCTGAGGTATCATTTTATTTGAATTCATGTTTGGAAAATTGCCTTACTATTTATCTCTATAATCTTTTATAATCATAGCTAAGTTTGCATAATGCCTTAACCATCTCCACAAACTAGCTGATCATTATTTTAGATTATAGTTGGTCACATAATCATACAAATGTTTAGACTGGATTTGGCATTTTTGTCCACCTAGCAAGTCCTTCAGAAGTATCTGGAATAGGCAGATGTTGCTGTTTAATAATATTAAAGGAAATGTCACAGGATGTAAGGTGTCTCAAGTAAACCCGCCATTTGCAAATGACTAAGGGTGATTTTATCAATGCTGATGGTGTTTAAGTCCAGATATTTTGGAATTGCACCCAAGACACCTATTATTATTGTGACTATCTTTGCTTTGTTTTGCCACAGTCATTCTTCCTCTGTTTGCAAGTATTATTATATACTGCCAGTTCTTTGCATAATGTTGGCATTCACCCGCATTAAGTTCTTCGCAAGAACTTAGGATATCATAATGTATTGGCGTAATATATGTGCCGATGTATGCAGTATGGTCTTTTATAATTGACAGGTGGAAATTTTGTCAATGGGCAGATTTTCTAAGTGCTGTCCAAGATTTTTTGGTATGGCACCCAGTGGCCAGTTTATACCTTTGTCTTTCAACTTTGAATAGTATTATTCAATAATAGGTTAAATCTACATCTATTATTATTCAACATTAGGTTAAGTGTACATCAACATTAGGTTAAATTTATTTAACATATTATTTAACAAAGTAATTATTATGTAATATTGTTGTTGTGGTTTGTCAGCCAGATATTTAGACTGGATTTGGCATTTTCATGCACCTATTGAATCCTTCCCAAGGACCTGGGATGTTATGCATTGTATGAGCCCTCGTGGCTCATTGTTCAGTATGTTGTGTGAAGCCAGAAAATGGGGTTAACTCAATTAATTAATGATGCTTTTAATTTGTTGTGTGAACACTTCCCATTGAATAGCATTTATATTGTAGAAATCGGCAAATAAACAACATTTTTATGTTATGATTTCCCCTCTCCCTTTCTTTTATCTACAGAAAATGAAAAATGCCTCATTTGATGACTGGAAGAACATCAGAGGGCCCCGCCCGTGGGAAGAGACTGGATCTGATCAAGAGAAGCAGCAGTAGCAGTAAAGTGTTGCCTAAAAGCCAACCTTACTAATTAACTAGTTGTGCTCTTGAACTGTATCCTGTAAGATGAATACAATGGGTGAATTAATAGAATCGACTACTAAGAATATGGCTGTGTTTGACATGGCTAAGCAGAAGCCTTATAAGTAAACATTTTGAACTTTGCAGTGGTTATTGATAATGCTAGTCAAATAAATTTAGATAAGAATTTAATTAAAAACATTTTATTAGACTTCTTCTTAATGACTTGAAAGGTAAAATATTGTCGTAAATGTAGGCTGTGTCCTACATTTAGTTTCAGACATTTACATTTTTATTAGATTTGTGTTATTAGGACATTTTGTTCCATCCATATCCATATCCATTTATGTTTGCAATTCTTTCTAACTTTTGTTCGCAACTTTACTTAATAGATGTAATTAAAATATGGTTTCTTGAGGAACTCACATTAACTTCACTTTTTCTAACATACTTTGTTCATGAGAGTCTCTAAAGGTAAATTAAGTGATGCTCAATTTTTCTCATTCTGCTGTTCATCTGTCCTAAAGAGAAGAAGCATTTCATAGGCAAATCCAATTCTAAGAGTTGTCCGAGGCATGTCCTAAGAATTCACTCCAACTTGAGGCATGTAATCAAAATAACTGCTAACCATAATGATTTCCAGTTCTGAGTGCCAGTTTTGTGTAATTGTTAAAGCGTCAGGCTAGAAACCAGGAGACCATGTGTTTTAGTCCCACTTTAAGAATAAAGCAGGCTGGGTGACTTTGGACCAGTTCCTTTGTCTTATCTCTAGAAAGGAGGCAATAGCAAACCATTATTGAAAAACCTTGCCACATAAACCTCAGGGAGTTGTCCAGGCAGTCTCTGAGAATCGGATATGATTGAACCAAAAGAAAAAAGTTTTACATGTTCTCATCAGGGTCAGTTTAAGGGCTCATAATGTATGCAGCTGCATTGGGATTCCCCCACACACACACACTCCAAGCAGAGCATTATTGTATGCTGAAGTAAGCAAAGTATGAACAAAGATGAAGAAGTTGTAGCTACCTGCCTTCATCGCCTGTCTTGAATGTCTTGTGTTCATCTCATGTGTCTCTTATAGGCAAGTTATATCTTGTTTTAATTTTTTTTTTCAAATAATGAATTGTTTTCCTCTCTTGAGGAATATTTGCTCCATTTATATTCCAGGTTAAGATTTGTAACCCATAATCAAGTCAATAACGCAGAAAAATTGATATTTGTAGAACCTAATTTAGTATCATTCCTTTCAGTTCCCAATTTGCCTGTTGGAGTTTTTGTGTAGTTTCGTCTGCCACATCCATTTGAATTTCCTAATTCCTCTCTGAATTTTTCTAGAAATTGTCTCACCTTATGAAGAGAACAAGTTTCCTGGGGGCAACATTTCACAAGTGGTTTGCAATTGCTTCCTTCCTATGGCTGAGAGAGAGTGACTGGCCCGAGGTCACCCAGTCCATGCCTAAGATGGGACTTGAACTCATGGTCTCCCAAGAGAGAGGGGGGGGAAGGGAGGGAGGGACAGAGAGAGAGAGAGAGAGAGAGAGAGAGAGAGAGAGAGAGACTACCATTAATATATTAATGATACCAAACCCCAAACTACCATATGCTTTTCTCCAGTGGCTTCACATACATATTCACATAGCAGCTTTAAATGGTGCCTCTGACAAAAACAGGACGGGAAACATGTTAAATAAGAGAGGAAAGAAGATTAAGCCCTGATTTTCCAGAGATTTTTGTAGTTGATAGCCCATCTCTTTCTCATGTTGTGTGAGCCTAGCCAGTATTGGTTTGCCTAGCCATGATTTATTCAACAAACCAAAAGCGAGTCCTGTACTGTTATAGGCCATTGACTCAGAATTACAGCCGGTATTTTCTGTTCTGAATAGAAATTACTCTGAGTTGAGAATTCTGTACTCATAATACTGAGATCTTTCCCTGTCTTCTTACCCAAAAATCCTTTTAGGTGCAAGCGCTAGGCGTGGAATCTATTATATTGGACAACTGAGTTCTGTATGGAGGAAAGCTAACAGTTATTTTCCTTGGTTACTTTCCTTCAGAGCATTTCAACCATCCAATGATCATTTACCAGGGAGAATTCTGTTTGTTTACATGAGAATATACTAATTTCTTGTTCTATACAGCAGTGGCATTTAACTAAATATAAGTTCATAAAGCCACAGGAGTTACTGTGGCCCATAAATTCCTCATTCTTCCTGCCAAACATTTCATTCTTCACTGGCCTCATTCTCTGCAATTTGCTAGCGGCAGCTTTTTCCTACGAAATCAGTAAGAATGTTGACATGCCACAAGTCATCCAATAAAGCTATGGACATTTTTTTTAACACAGCAGTTTTAGGTACAGTGTCTTCCAGCAATATTTTCTCACACTCTGGATGTATTTAGATTCCAGGAGGCTGTGGATGATTCATGTGAGGCTTTCTGTTCATTTGTGCCATTTTGTATGTGTCTTTATTTAAAATATATTTATTTCAGAGATATTTATATCTCATCTTTCATTAATGTAAGTTCAAGTGGCAAACAAAATAAATGGAACTGTAAAACCTGTTGCTCTATTCCAGCTCATAGAAAAAACTAAAGTTACTTAGATTTAGGCATTGAGCTGTGGTATAATAATCCCTGTTTATACTTACTGAGGAGTAAACCCTATTGAATGCAGATTAGCTTGGATAATCATGTCAGGGATCGGACTGTACGTGGAGTATTTACCTAGATAAGAGCAGGAGAAAACATCATGAATAAGAGCTCTCACAAGTTTTGTTTTGTTCACTATTTATTTCTTCCAGTACATTAGTGACGTTCTCCATTGTTCATTTGAGTCAATTTAACTAATGCAGGGAGTAAATGTAACTGGGCACAGAGTTTACTAGAATAATACTTTCTTTACAAATGCATCCTGAAATTCAAAACTTTGAAATACCTTGTTGCTGTATTTTGAGCATTTTGGAGCCTGAACTGAGAATAATAATAATGATGATGATGGTGGTGGTGGTGGTGCTGGTGCTGGTGATGGTGATGGTGATGGAAGGGACCTTGGAGGTCATCTAGTCCAACCCCCTGCTCAGGCAGGAAACCCTATACCATGGGTGTCAAACTCATGATGTCACATGACGTGTTGCGACATATCGCGACTTTTTTCCCATTGCCGGCAAAGGGGTGGGTGCAGTTTTGGCGTGACGCATCCGGCCCATGGGCTGGCAGTTTGACATCCCTGCCCTAAACCATTTCAGACAAATGCCTGTCCAGTCTCTTCTTAAAAACTTTCATTGTTGGATCATTCACAGCTTCTGGAGGCAGGTTGTTCCACTGATTAATTGTTCTAACTGTCAGGAAATTTCTCTTTAGTTCTAGGTTGCTTCTCTCCTTGATTAAATTCCATCCGTTGCTTCTTGTGTTGCCTTCAGGCGCCTTGGAAAATAGCTTGACTCCCTCTTCTTTGTGGCAGCCCCTGAGATATTGGAACATTGCTATCATGTCCCCCCTCGTCCTTCTCTTCATTAAACTAGACATACCCAATTCCAGCATGATCAGGGGAGTAGAGGCTAAAACATACAAGGAATGGTTATTCCTTGTATGTTTTAGCCTCCAGTCCCCTGATCATCTTTGTTGCTAATTACAATGTCCCTAAAGCAGTGATGGCAAACATATGACATGAGCATCACAGATGACATGCCATGTCATTTTGGGTGCTACGTTAGGCCTTTGGACCCCTGGAAGTCACATGAGAGGGCCTTGCTCTGATGCCCCTTTGGAGCCTCCAAAAGTACACAAGAATGAGGTACAATTACCTGAGTATTTGTTTATTCTCCCCCCCGTGTGTGTTTGTGTGTGTGTGTAGGGTATAACATGCTAGCAGAATCAGGTTTGGCATTTTTTGAATTTTTGATATGCTGAGCCCAAAAGGTTCATCGTCGTGGGCCTACAGAATACAAAGTTGCCTTATTGATTTAAATTTAGATTGTGTTCTTTACACACAATCCCTGTCAATGATTTTGGATGACTTACAGCTTTAAAGAAAAATAAAATCCCGAAAAAGATAATAGGAGCAGTGCCATCCTCACTTCCACAAAAACTGACTGCCTGTGCAATTCTCAAGTATTAAGAAACTTCTTTCTACTTAAATCTCTGAGGATTTCTTTTTTATTATGTAGAACCCCCCCCCCCAAACCAGGACATTTTGATAATATTAAGACTTGTATTGCAGAAAGTCTCTTGTTTTCTTGTGCTATTCTTTGGCATCTAAGCCACCGAATATCATCTATACCAGGGCTTTTCAACCTTTTCACCCATTGTACCACTTTTAGGATATGGCAACATCCGAGTGCCACCAGTCACCTAGCAAGGTGTTAAAAACTTGATGACCAAAAAAAAACAAAGGAAAAAAGTGATAAAGTACAGGTAGTCCTCGACTTACAACAGTTCGCTTAGTGACTGTTCGAAGTTACAATGGCACTGAAAAAAGTGCCCCCCAAGCCACAGCCGAGCAAGACACCTGCCTGCCCACCCGGTGGCGCTCTTCCTCCTGTCCAAGGTTTTCATTGTTGTGAGCATTTCTGTTGAGAATTGGCAGCGGGGGTGCGGTGGGGGGTGTTTGGTTTTTATCCCCCCCATCTGCTGGGTGGTTGCAGCAGGTTTTGGTCACTTCACATGACCCTGGGATATTGTGACCGTCATAAATATGAATCAGTTGCCAAGCATCTGAATGTAAATCACAAGACCCTGGAGATGCTGCAACATTCCAGCTGATTGATGCTTCTTCAGGGCTCAGCAGAAGCACCAGGATCAGCGCTGAGCTCCAGCTAGAGCCTGGAGCTGATCCTGGCGCTTCCACTGAGCCCTGACAGTCCCGAAGAAGTGCCGATCAGCTGGAAAGCGGCACTGATCCTGGGGCTTCCGCTGAGCCCTGACAGCCCTGCAGCTCCAGCCATCTCTCGCTCAGGCTTGTGCGGTGCTGCCACCAGTTCAGCTCATTCCCCTCCCCCGCTACCACTTTTCTAGGATGGTCGCGTACCACCTGCCAGGTGCCAATGTACCACAGGTGGTACCCGTACCACTGGTTGAAAAGCCCTAATCTATACTATCTGAGGCCTGTAAAAGCTCTGGATGTAGGCCTCAAAGGCTGTTCCTAAAAGCTGCTTATATGTGAAAAAATGATGAAGCATATGGGACATAGCCGTATGTGTTGCATAAATATATTTTATTTATGTAAATTAAACTACAGTCTAAATTTTGCTCTGCTTCCATCTGTTTTTTAAAGTAGAACTCCTGGCATATTACATAACAATTTAGTATGATTGCACTACTAAACTTCTCTGTTTAAACTATATGTAGCTATACCAAGTAGGGAAACTCCTTTACTAATATAATTTGATACAATACTGCTATGTCAAGGTCTTTATTAATAGG